GTGGCTCCATGGAAACATTCGGTTCCGGACTAGCCTGGACCATGTAATCAACCATGAAATCATCCCGATAGGTACTCTGGCTGGTCTAGAGTTGGCATAGGTAGGACAGTGCCTAGGGTGACTTCGAGGAAACATTTGGTTCCGGGCGAGCCTGGAGTGGCACACAGGCTGGTCTAGAGTTGGCTTAGGGACACTGCCTATGGTTGCTCCGTAGAAACATTCGGTTCCAGACTGGCCCAGAGTGGCAACTGTAACATCATCCCAATAAGCGCCCAGATTGGTCTACATGACTTAGGTAAGACATTGCCTAGGGTGGCTCAGTCGAAACATTCGGTTCCGGACTGGCCAGGGATCATAACTCATGACTGATAATAACCAACTGAGGGTGCAGAGGGGGATGGGCCGGAGGTCTTCCCTGGCAGGAATCGGCCCTGTGGCGAACTGGTGCGGGTTATGGAATCGATAACCTTGCCCCCTCGGCATAAACAAACCCCCCCCCTGATACGGCAATAATAGCAGGCTATGCTAGGAACATGGCGCCCGGGTTGGGTCAGAAGGGCTGTCGCAGGTAAGACCTTGGTTAGGGTAGAACCACTACACACTGCCTAGGGAAAGGCTCTAAGGAATATTCGCTGTCTGACCAAAGAGGTTTGTCATGGCCTAGCGCTGGTGTCTGCAAACGTTGTCCGGTGTACCCGAGAGGGCCAAACAAGTGCACCCGTAGATGAGGAAGCAGAGGTTATGCTGAGGAAGCAGAAAGATGAGGTAGGTAGGGGTGGCTCCTGTAAGCAGCCATAAAAAAAAAAAAAAAAAAAAAAAAAAAAAAAAAAAAAAAAAAAATTTTTTTTTTTTTTTTTTTTTTTTTTTTTTTTTTTTTTTTTTTCTAATACCTAAAAGGAAAACGCGGGTCTCGCGTGACGGGCCCACGTGAGACACCGGTGCTGGTGGCACGGTCCCAGATGTGAGAGATGCGAGACCCGCGGCTGCTGCCACGGCCCCGCACGCGAGAGTGGCGATTGGGGCGCCCCGATGTGCGGCGGGTCCTGGGCAGGCGAACCGGCGCAGGGGCGAGGGACGGGGCCCGCGGGGAACTGGCTGGACCGCGGCGGTTGTCTTTTTTTTGGTCTCCCGCCGCGGCAGATTTTTTGGGGTGTGAAAGGGATGTGAATGGTGTTGGGGAACCCGGCAAAGTGCATCGATTTTTTGTTTCGTCCTTTTTCCGACGACGCCGCGGCCTCTCCCGAAGTTTTGCGGCCGCCAGAGGAGCCCTTCGTGGCGTGCGGCCGGTTTTTGCATGCGCTTTGCATGCGTGGGGTTTTGTGGGTTGCGTACGTAACCGCGGCCAGTTTGCGTGTCGCTGTCGAATGCCTGCCGATCACCACTCAGCAAGCGGATACTCTGAGAGAGAGAGAGAGAGAGAGAGAGAGAGAGAGAGAGAGAGAGAGAGAGAGAGAGAGA